GCTTATGTCACAACTAGAAAAACTGTGAAATCTTAGGAGCAGAGATACAAGCGTTTAGGGGCTATAGGGCCCACAAAGTATCAGAAAAGTGTTGGAAACATAACACCAAAAGTCGCTAAAATGCTCGTTTCACGTATTTATATGAAATAATATGGTAAGAAGGTGGAGATCTCACTATAAAGGAAGAAACAACTCGTTGAAAAGAAACATGCGTTGGGATGTTGAAAATGTGACTTGTTATTAACTTCAAACATAATCTATTACAACAGACAATCAGTGTGCAATTCATCAAATGAACAGTGAGACAGGTAGAAAGGCGGTTCACAATGGGCACATTCTACAAAAGCGATAGCCTCACACTTTGGACACTCATTATTTGTCAACGAATCGAAGCAGTAATCCATTGGCGCAGTCCACATTCTAGGCTCGTCGTCCAAGTATCTGCCCTTATAAAAAGCATACTTAATTAAGTTCTTAAAACGCGGAGCTCTGAATTGATATAATGAAAAGGACTGCAGGGCCAGAAAACCATCGCGATGCCAAATGCGCTCCTGTATTTCGATAATGATTGTGCCCGTTACGTAACGAACAAAAGATTTGTAGTGTCTGAAAAAAATGAATATCCAAAGGCTGGATCTTTCCCGTAAATCCTTCGGGTACCACGTCTTTTTGTAGGACTTTACGATCAGGTACTTCGGAAGCAGACAATGCATGAGCATGCAAGAATTAGAGATGCCATTACGGAAATATCTATATCTATACACACTTCAATGGCACCTTGTGGGTTCTATAGCTCTTAAACGCTTTTCCCTCTGCCCCTAAGACTTCACAGTTTTTCTACTTATTATATAAGCTTTCAGAAAATGTGTGAGTTTCCGAGAAACCGGTATCAAAAGAGAAAAGGTTTACTTGTCAGTATTCCAAACTCATGCTGAACTAACAAGTGACAGCATATACTCTTTCCAGTCTTATATAGCTTTCACCACGCCCCTGAGATATTTCTAATACTTTCTGCTTCTCGAAATAACTGGAAGGTTTATGAAGGCCGAATACGGTTACAGTTACACAGAACATCAATTACAGTTATTCTGTTACAACACCTATTGCAGTTACACAGAACATCAATTACAGTTATTCTGTTACAACACCTATTGCAGTTACACAGAGACCGAACCAAAAGGTCGCCCAGTTTCGTGCCTTTTTGCGATTTTTGGCCAATTTGAAGACAAAAATTAGTCGCAAATGCCGTTGCCAGCTTGACGATATTTAGCCAAATTAGTGACATAACTATTTACTTAATGTTAAATAGACTTACCCTTGTATTCTTACTTTCCCAGCAAAGCAGCATCTATCTAGATTTTGATGTTACATTATACAGAAACGTACAACAATTTTACATATAATTGCACTAAAATCATCTATCGATACACAAAATTCGCAACAATATAAACCCTCTTCATAAAATCTATACAAAATAAGATAACATTATTAAATTTTGAACAAAAACTTTTTTAATGCTACGTTTGCAACTTCATGGTTTACACAACATCGTCAAAATTCGGGTTTGTGCGGACGTTGAAGATAGAGTCAATTTTTTCCAGGTGCGTATCAGTACTTCGCGTCTTTATCTTGAATTTCACGAACTTAATCCTTGAAAAGAGTTGCTCGCTTTTATAGGCTCTTCGAAATAACGTCATATTTTTCTGGGCAAAAACTATCAGCTTTGGAAACTTTTCATGAGGAAGGTAGTTTTTATAAAAGTTAATTAGTGTAATATCCTTGATTTTTGTTTTCAGAAGAAAGTTCTTTTATATTTTCATTAATTCCATTTGCATAGAAAGTGGCGATAGTTCGATATCAACTTCAAATGGAGACTAAAAAATTCGCAAGTTTGCTTCTTGAATTTTAAAATCTCTGAACCTTGTGTTGAGTTCTTGACTCAAAGATTTCAATCTTCCCAAATGATTCGCCATAAAAATCATTTGTGTGGTCTGCAAGTGTGAAAACCTACTAAGTATTGTCTTCAGTTTATAAGGTATTTCTCCCACCTTCATAGCATGCCTTCGTGGTGTAGCTCGACGCGTATTCAAGAGGTCCGTGGTTCGAGTCCTTGCGAGGGCATTGCTCATTTTTCATCTCTTCTGCTTCGAAATTACCTGATTTCCCTACAGTGACACCCGAACTAAAAGGATGGTGGATGATTATTCTCCGACCCCCAGGATTTGGCGAATGGGTCCCCTAATCCCCAGTCATTGTTTAAAAGAGAAAATATATAAGATATTTCTCCCGCCTTCTTAACATGCCTTCGTGGTGTAGTGGTCAGCACGCTCGATGCGCATTCGAGGAAAAATTAGAAGATTTTCCTTAAATTATTATTGAAGACATGTATCGGATCTTGACTAGATATCCGTACCATTATCTTTAGAAAACGCAAGCTACAGATCATTCCAACGCATAAGAAATGTAAAAAAAAAATAAAATCAGAAATTCATCGTTTATATTCGGTGATCATATTAAGTGAGAGAATCAATTCTGAAGAAAATGCTATTATAAATTACACTATTCCCCAAATAAAAGTGAAAGCTAATAAAATTTCTTTGCATTTCGAATATTCTTTTCATCAGTAGAAATATTGTATGAAAAGATAAATGGAAACAGGTTAATTAAATATACATATATATATATATAAAGGCTGCTATTTTTTGAAAAAATATATAAAATTTTTGAAACGTAGAAAAATAATGTTAAACAATGTTAACATTGTAACAATGTCGAATGTCAAACAGCTTGGTATCAAATTTGCATTGGATTGCCATAATTTATTTTAGTAACGTTGATTGTGATGTTAAAGTGCATAAAAAAATTTTAAAGTGCATTTTTCATATTCATTATACAGAAGGTTAATTTCGTATGGTATATTCAAATCTCACAGAAATGCAAAATTGCTTCGCATTTAAGAATTATATAAATAAAAAATCGGGTGGCCTATAGTATGACATGTGTGTCGAACGGATTATATGTACTTTCGAATCATCGAAAATGTACAAAAAACAATTTCAGTTTTATATTATTATTAATTATTATTATTATTATTATATATAAAGTTGTTTTATAGGACATTTTGAGTTAAATAAATTCAAAAAAGTAAAACTTCTCAGTATTGAACTCTCATAGAACCATGAGTTTTGTCTTTTAAATGGATGCGTCCAATATTTACAGGGATCAGTTTTAAATTTTAGAAAACATTTTATCCATAATTTTTAATTTTATGAATATTTAGAGCTATTTAATATAATTAAAAATGATTTTTGATCCGTAGGTAATGCATATTACAACAAATACTAATGATTAATATTCATAATATATTTCAAGTATTTAATAAATTTCATCCTGAATGTACATACTGTTTTAAGTATATTAACATACTTGTAAATTACAATGTATAGTTTTTGAAATCCTTGCTGTATGTAGTCATAATGAATATAAAATAACTACAAATTAAAAGATCTTGAAGAGAAAATTTAATTTAAAGCATATTTCGGATTCATTTAAAGAATCAGGTAAGTGTATTTTTCTTTTCTGCCTATTCACGCAAACGCCTGTGCTCTACAGAAACTATTAATTGAAGAAAGATTTAATCATTCACTGTCGGCTAAATTTAGAAAACATTATTGAAGATTTTCATAATGTTTGTTGCTTCACTAAAAATAGTTTTTTTTTTTTTTTTTTTTTTTTTTTTTTTTTTTTTACATTTTACTTCAATTTTATAAAACTCATTGTTACTAATTCTTGAAATGAAAGTTTTAATACACGTGAAATCTGGTTCATTTTCTTTACTAACCATTTGCCCAGCCAGCCACTTAACGGTTATTATAAAATACCTGATGTGAAAACTACGTGACTTTCTTGTACGGCCTATTAAATTTTAAAACTTTTTGCTGCATTTTATTTAAACTTTTTTCTCGAATTTGATTAGAGATACATTTCTCATTCAATTAATTCAATTCTCACTTTGCAGCAAGACAAAAATACGTAAAAACTCCATCTTCATTAAAATTTTTAAAATACAGAAAAACATAAAGCACCCAAAACGATACCGACTACAGACAGTTAACCTTGAGAATTAAAATTAGAGTTTCTACGCAAAAACAAGCAATTCATCCAGCGGGCAGAAAGACAGATTTTTCAGTGCTCAAACAGAAAAAAATTTACTTTTGATCCCTCTTGGCAAAAAGACACTTATATTGGTGCTGAAACTGACTTAATTGACTATTCTACCGAGAGTTTCAAATGTAAATAAATGTTGGCCTCGTCAGATTAACTACTAGATTGGTTGGGCATTTATTAACTTATCTTTTATTTAAGAAATTGGTACATAAGATGGTTAAGAGCACTTTCCCAAAAAACTTATATACGGGGTTTAAATCCATTGATAACGGTGACTGCTCATATATGCTCTCATATACTTCCGATAATTTGATTCTCCTTCTTTTGGAATTTATGTCACACTGTTCTTTAATGTCCAAACCATAACATTACGGCATCTCATTTAGCTGAAAGTAAATACCTAGAATACTCTGTTTTTAAGGAGTACTCTGTTTTTAAGGCAAGTAACTATAATATCGTCAAAGAGTTACGTTTTTTACAATCAGTATATTGTAATTCTCTAAACTCGCTTATGAGATCCTTCAAAATAAAGTAACATACCTTTCCATAGCATATACAAGATATAAATTAAAAAGTAACATGTCGAATAGCGGTTATTGATGATGCTAATGCAACAAGAATCAGCGGCAGTTTTCATAAATCTGCCAGTCTATTTTCAAAGGTTTTATTTTTGTGAAAATTACCCCTGATTCTTGTTGCCTTAGCATTTCAAGTAACATATTCAACTTTTCAAAAGCAAACGTAGTTTTAAATTACAATCTCATAAATCTGTTCAGATTAACTGCATGAAGTTTAGTAAATTAAATACATAAATTAAACAAATTCAATAATACCTTTGGATTGAAAAAGATGCTAAAATTCCTGCAAGAAAATGAAACCCGTTCGCAGCAAGATAGAGGAGCCATTACTAGATCTGAGTTTGTCATGTTTATCATCCATTTGCTGTAGGTCCAATCTCTATAAGAGGAAACACCGCAGCAGTGGAATGACTTATGGAGCCTATCTATGAAATAGGTTATCGTCTGATCCAGCCCATACCTCTGCTTCACTTCTTCCAGCAGCGTTTTGTTGAAGGCACCTATCTTAACAGCCGTGCTGAAAGAATAGGAAACTGCTCCTGCAATTGTCTCCAGTAGCAAGGCCAGGCACAGACCATGCATCAACTGAAACATGAAAAATGGGTTTCATGAGTTCAATTATAAATAATATGCCACGATGCTAGTAATTTGTGTGTAATTATTGTATACAAAATATTTTGAGTTCATTGCATACAGATCTCTTCAAGTATTTATTTCTAAAATAAATTTCTACTAGCATATATACTGCATCTACATGTTTGAGCACTAAGTTCGTACAAAATCAAAAATTGAAAAAAAAAAAAAAAGCATTCTTACTGCATAGCCGTAGCCGTCAATATACGATACTTGTAAATCTGCATAACGTTTGGTGCATTCATGCAATAGCTTGATTCCTTAGCAGAATCATCTTCTGGAATACTATTTAAATTATTAATTACAGCTTTTTAAATCTTTTAAAATTTTGCTCCTATAATTTCGTGAGGCAAAATTTCTCTTTAGGAGAAAAAGTAATCTGCAGATGCCAAATGCGATGAATAAATAGCATAGTTGAGAATTATATGTATATATATATATATATATATATATATATATTTGGCTAAAAAAATGCTTTACAAGAACAGAATTTAGTTATGGCATATTGACATAAAGTAGGAACCAGTTATTCGAATGAACCTTTTAAAGCCTAACGTGTTAGAATTCTCTTCAGAAGTCTAAGTCTTTGTAAAATATGGAGTTAAACGTCTGTCCCCTGACAACAAATTCACTGTGAATTATTTATTTTTAATCAATAAATGTTCCCAGGTTGATGTTCACTCGATATTTCTGAAACCGAAGTTTCTGTGGCTATGGTGGACCTTTTGCAACCCAAAGCAGATGATTCATTTTTTATTCATTTTTTATCTCTGGATCCTAAATAAACAGCAAGATCACTTTCTTATCACAGTTTATTTTTTTTTTTTTTAAAAATCAGTTTTTTTTTTTTTTTTTTTTTTTTTTTTTTCCTCTGCTTTACAGCAAACTTATATTCTTTGCCCGCCTTTTCAATACATAATTGGAGTTTTCCACTAGATCAAAGGAAGCAGTTAACTGCATAAAAAATTCTATCTATAAGTAGATATATTGTAGAGAAAGCAAGTTGAGATATCATAGTAATAAAATTTGTTAATCATCATTTTGTAGGTTTGATCTAATTTTTTTTAAATATTAGCCCACATACTTTGTCGACGCACTATGCATGGCTCAATGTTTAGAGCTTGTAATGATCGCCTGAATAAGCTGATTTCAGAGGAAATAAAAAAGTTATCTTCAGTAACTGTAAAGCATTGTATAACAAAAAACGTAAACTTCTAGAGCGATTACAACCATAATCTGTCTTTGGTAAGCAGAAATCGCTCTCGTCAACAAAATCATCGATGGTAAATATTTCTGGAACGAAATTTTTAGCTAATCCAAAGCAGGCTTTGAATTTCAGACGTCCAAGAAGAAAAGCATTTGGAACAGCTTGTTTAGGAGTTTAAAGCTAATTTAAGAGTCGGGGGTAGATTTTAGAAAATATGCGGAACTCGTACATAAAATTCAGTTTGATTCCAAGAGCAAATGAGTTTCTTTTCTGTAAGGTAATGGCGAAAGATAATATAGAAAATGTCACTGATTGATTGGAATCACTGCAGTCTTCGCGTTATTTCCAAAAGATGTCTAGTTTAATTTTCTAACTACTTAAGTTACTTTTTACACTTTATGCTAACTGAATTTCTTCTAGAGTGCTTTTTAAATTTCATTTAATTCTGCAAATATTGTTAAATTGCAAACTGCAGTAACTCTGGTTTAGTAACGTTGTTTGCACAGTAAAGATAATATACGTGTAAAAACAAATATTTATAGAACTCGCACAAACTTTTCATTTAGACTTTTTTGTGTTTATATTTGCAATAACACACTCTAATGTTTTCAGACATTATAAATAAGTATATTATTATTATGAATATTGGAACTAAATTATTAGATAGAAGTGGCTCATCGACATAGATACTTTGAACTAAAGTCTCTATCAGCTAGATAGAACAGAAGCAGTAAGCAAATAACTATCAATATTTAATAAACAGTAATATGGTAAACAAACTACAGATGATCATGGCTGTGTGTAAGCACAATGAAAAATAAGCAACATAAAGCAAAGTTATATTATTACTAATTCTTTACTCATCAAAGGGGTGACCCTAAGCCTAACTGCATGATTTTGAATCTCACCAATAAAATACACGTTATATATAAATTTTGGTCTTTTCACTAAGTCCAGGGTGAGCATTTCGATTCTACGGAAATGACTTGATGCGCGGTTAGCAACCGCTCCAATATTTGCTAATCTGAAGTACAAATCTCCTGAAGAATCTATTTCTTTTGGATTTTCTACATTTGCAAAGCCCCATGACCATCTCGCAGTGCATTTTAGTATCAACTGATCTTCTGTTAATAATTTATCTTAAACATTTTGATTTAAAATTCCACTTATTATTCTACCTCTTATTAAACTAACCCCAGATGTTATAGTAGTTACTAAATTTCTATAAACCCGTTAAAAAATCGTCAAAGGATTTATTTACCTGTATTTTGGGAGAACAATATATGCCTGCCAGCACTTTCACTTGCTTTCGATACACAGAAATTTTCAACAGCTTCAATTATTTTGTAAATATTTTTTTAAATGTTCTTCACTTGAATGAAAAGTACTAAACTTCTCAAGTACTTCTTGACCAATAATATGCAAAAAAATATACTTATTTTAATTTCTGGCAAGTTAGTAGTACCACCGGAAGCTAACGTGTAAAACTGGAATTTTTGTTTCCTCTTCTTCCAGTCTTCGTTTATATTTCCTTCAAAACACAAATAATTTGGTGGCTTTAATTTCCTCCATATTTAAACCAAGACTTTAATTTAAATACCAAATTTTAATTCTTTAATTTAAAGACTTTTAATTAATTTAAATAGTTTAAATATGCATATTTTTCGCCAATTTGAATGAAAATACAGTGGTTCTCATTTGTTTTCGGATACTTGTGTATTTCAGTTATGGCAAATATCTCTTAATAAATACTAAAAAAATAGCATTATCAAATTTTGAATCTTATTAAATTTACAGCAGTATCTTTTTCAAAAATCTGATGCGTACACCACATGACTTCCTTGTACGGAATATTAAATTATACGCATTTTTTTCTTGCATTTCATTTAAACTTATTCGATTGAATTAAACCTACTTCGCCGACAGCGCATAAACCACAATAGAATAAATGCATTCTCTAAAATTCACTTTGTTTATCATAGCGACACTCTGGCGCTAGGTTTACTTAAAAGTATTATGTTTCGTTCATATTATAACTCAGAATGCACAAAATTTATATCATTTAAAGAATTATCTAATCGTTGCCACATGTTCTATTCAAATACTATAATAAAGCTAGAACTATGTATAAAAGAAATTAAGCAAACAAAAAAAAAAGAAACAGTTTTTCACAGACGATTGAGTATTTCTCATTCAATTAATTCAGTTTTCACTTCGCGACAAGGCAAAAATACATAAATACTCAAAATATCTGTATTAAAAATTACGAAGTAAATCTTAAACGCTTATTTCCTCGAAAAATTTCCAGAAAGGATTAAGCATGATTTAAATAATAAACGAAGGCGTTATCTTTGTTGTTGCGAAGCTACGTTTCTCTAGATTGGCAACAAATCCGCTACTCAGCTGTTTCAAATGTAAACAAGAGCATCAAATTAGGCTTAGCAGCACTTAAGCAATTTTAAAATTGTTGATAATTCTAAAAATATTGCATACAGATTTTACTAAAGGCATAAAACCCTTAACCGGAAGATAAAAACAACATAATTCAATCATTTTTAAAGCAAAAAATGTACAATTTACAAACATATAAGAGTAAAGAACCTGAGATCACTGAGCCGGGTAACAGAGTGCATATATTTATAAATATATTTTATATACGTTTGGCGCGGGCGATTGAAACCAAAATACGAGGTGCACATCTACATGTTATAGTAGTCTTATATACAAAATTTCAACGTTCTGAGGCTACTCGTTTTTGAGTTATGCAACGTTCGTACGCACGTACGTACATACGTTCGTACAGACGCCACGAAAAATTCTCTTCAGAATTAATTTTAAAGCAATTTTATAATTTTTTTGAAGGAAAAGAGTATTTTACTCTGTCCTTACGTACAGATATCACGCAAAAACATCGTTAAATTGCATTCGAAAGCGGTCAAAGTGGAAATTTTCGTTGAAATATGCTGCCTGAAGCTTTTCGCGATTACAATACTTCCTTTTTACTTCGTACAAGGAAGTAATAAAAAGAAGTGAGTTTCGGAGTGCTTTCTCGACTCTGAGAAAGACCGCGTTTGGCATCAAGGTCACATTTACAAGCTTATAAAAGTTCGCTTATCTCCAAATGTTATGAAAATAGCTTTATGTTATTTAAAAAGAAGGGCTTTTCAAGTTCTTATAGGTGATACACTTTCCACTACAAAAGTCACCAAGCCTGGAGTCCTGAAAAGTTCCGTATTAGGTCTCTGTGTTTAACATCTATATTAATGACATTCCGGAACAATTAATACAAAAGCTCTTAATTATGAGATAACAGTGCTCTGCTTTTCAAATCTATAATGCTGCAAAACACCATACTAAATTTAAAACTTTTTGTTAATATTATTTCTCATTAATTGTCAGTTTGGAAAATTAATTTATATGCAACCAAATGCAATGTTCTTATTTTTTGAAGATATTATAAGACTTGATTGATGAAGTTAAGAATTGCCATTCATGGAACAGTTTTTCCAATAATTCAGTCATATAAATATTTATTTGATGGAAAGCTTACATTTATAGACCAAGTAATTTATGCTCTTAATAATTCCAATGCAACCTTTATGGCTCTTTATTGTTTTATCAGAAGAGAATCCAATCTGCACCTTCGGTGTCAAGCGAACCCTTTACCCAACTCTCATGCGACCAAGCCCAACCGTGGTCTTAGCACTCCTAGTTTAATCTGGGTTCTATTCAAGGTGAATGACTG